AGCACTGTAACAATACTTTCAGAAACATCAATTGTCTTTAATGTTTACACTTACCGATGTTGTAAAGACTGAAACTCAGAGCCTTATATGTCTACTGGTATAACTCAATAACCTTGCTAAACTCTGCCCACATATAAAGTTTTGAGTTTCAGTTTTCACGTCATTCGTTTGTAAGTGCGGAGTTTAGCAAAGTTATTGAGTTATGTCAGTAGGCAATTAAAACTCTGAGTTTCAGTTTTAACGTCATTAAATTTGTAAGTGCAGAGTTAGCAAGGTTATTGAGTTATGCCAGTAGGCATTTAAAGCTTTGAGTTTCAGTTTTCACGTCATTCGTTTGTAAGTGCGGAGTTTAGAAAAGTTATTAAGTTATGTCAGTAGACATATAAAGCTTTGAGTTTCAGTTTTCACGTCATTCGTTTGTAAGTGCAGAGTTTAGCAAGGTTATTGAGTTATGCCAGTAGGCATTTAAAGCTTTGAGTTTCAGTTTTAACGTCATTAAATTTGTAAGTGCAGAGTTAGCAAGGTTATTGAGTTATGCCAGTAGACATATAAAGTTTTGAGTTTCAGTTTTCACGTCATTCGTTTGTAAGTGCAGAGTTTAGCAAGGTTATTGAGTTATGCCAGTAGGAGTTTCAGTTTTCATGTCATTCGTTTGTAAGTGCAGAGTTTAGCAAAGTTATTGAGTTATGTCAGTAGGCATTTAAAGCTCTGAGTTTCAGTTTTCATGTCATTGGTTTGTAAGTGCAGAGTTTAGCAAGGTTATTGAGTTATGGCAGTAGACATATAAAGCTTTGAGTTTCAGTTTTCACGTCATTCGTTTGTAAGTAAAGCTTTATATGTCTACTGCCATAACTCAATAACCTTGCTAAACTCTGCACTTACAAACCAATGACATGAAAACTGAAACTCAGAGCTTTAAATGCCTACTGACATAACTCAATAACCTTGCTAAACTCCGCACTTACAAACGAATGACGTGAAAACTGAAACTCAAAGCTTTATATGTCTACTGCCATAACTCAATAACCTTGCTAAACTCTGCACTTACAAACGAATGACGTGAAAACTGAAACTCAAAGCTTTATATGTCTACTGCCATAACTCAATAACCTTGCTAAACTCTGCGCTTACAAACGAATGACATGAAAACTGAAACTCAGAGCTTTAAATGCCTACTGACATAACTCAATGACCTTGCTAAACTCTGCACTTACAAATTTAATGACGTTAAAACTGAAATTCAAAGCTTTAAATGCCTACTGGCATAACTCAATGACCTTGCTAAACTCCGCACTAACAAACGAATGACGTGAAAACTGAAACTCGTGGCGTTTAACATATAATGCTTGTTATATAAGTTAATAGAGCTTGGGATTCTAATCACACTTAATATCACTTTTCGCTTCCTCAGAAGACACTATAATACCAATTGTAGAGAATTAACTTTAAAATGTCGACACTCTGTATAAGTAACGCTTAATCTCGCTAAAGTTAATGTCGATGCTCTGTAAAAGCAACGCTTAACCTCGCTAAAGTTGATGTCAATACTCTGTATAAGCAACGTTTAACTTCGCTAAAGTTAATGTCAATACTCTGTATAAGCAACGTTTAACCTCGCTAAAGTTAATGTCGACACTCTGTAAAAGCAACGCTTAACCTCGCTAAAGTTGATGTCAATACTCTGTATAAGCAACGTTTAACTTCGCTAAAGTTAATGTCAATACTCTGTATAAGCAACGTTTAACCTCGCTAAAGTTAATGTCGATACTCTGTAAATGCAACGCTTAACCTCGCTAAAGTTGATGTCAATACTCTGTATAAGCAACGTTTAACCTCGCTAAAGTTAATGTCGATACTCTGTAAATGCAACGCTTAACCTCACTAGTCAATGAATTATACTAGACCTTTTTGTATTACACGTACGACGTTCTTCATGTTCACGATGTTTGATGTAGAAATTAAAAGAAAAGAGGAATACGTCTAGCGGTACAACTACAGTGCGGTTATATAAATAAGTCGATGAAAGCAAAATTACAGCGCTGTTTCATAAATAACTGGATGGTAGCAAAATTACAGCGCTGTTTCATAAATAATTGGATGGTAGTAAAATTACAGCGCTGTTTCATAAATAATTGGATGGTAGTAAAATTACAGCACTGTTTCTTAAATAACTGGATGGTAGTAAAATTACAGCGCTGTTTCATAAATAACTGGATGGTAGTAAAATTACAGCGCTGTTTCATAAATAACTGGATGGTAGTAAAATACTAATTATTATTTTTAAATTAAGAAAGCCCCCCTCCCAATGCCACAGCGGTATGCCAGCGGATTTACAACGCTAGAAACCAGGTTGCGATACCCGTGGTGGGCAGAGCACAAATAGCCCATTGTGTAGCTTTGTGCTTAATTCCAAAGAAACAAACAAAATAATTAAGAAAATCCTATGTTTTATACGTAAATAATAATAATTATTATTTCAAAATCTGCCCCCTGGTAGCTCAGTGGTAAGGTCTGAAATTTATAACACAAAAATATCGGGTTTCGATATCCGCGATGGGTAAAGATAACATTGGCTAACTTAACAACAAACAAGCAATCAACAAATTTTCTGAGTTGATGCATTAACAGAATTCCTAGTCGAACAACCTTATACTTTTTTATTCACAATAAAGTTAACCGAAATTAATGACGTTTTATTGTCAAAATAAGGAAACATCCAAATAAACAGGTAATGCTGGTCTAAATCATGCTTGAACTGCTAGCCCCATCTATCGTTTTAAATAAGGATATAAAGCCGTTATGGTTCGAGCGAGAACTATGTTGAAATTTGTCTGTGTGTGTGTGAAACAATTAAATATAAACAACACAACGTTTAGAAATTGCACATAGATTTATTAAAAGCCATTACAAGTAAAAATTTAATCTACATGTTTCGGCTTACTTAAAAGTAAGAAATCAGTCATTTTCATGTTTTGTTTATTATTGTGTGTAATGCATTGTTCTGTATTACTCAAGTTTCTTTTCTTTTACGAAACCACACAATAATATAAAAACGTTAGACTTGTTAACGAAAATCTATTCGTATTTAGATAAACGTGTTCCGTTTCTATTTGCTTTGTTAAATGTCTTCTGAAAACACTTTAACCCTAATATTACCAGAATGCGTCCGAACACCATCGGCTTTTTTAAACTATTCACGCGCCATTTCGCTTGTCGCTCCATGACTTTACAGGGTATAAGGTTCATAATAACATATCAGTCCCAGAAAAAGTTTAAAACAATATACCATTACTATGAAAATTATGCTCACTAATTAGTGCTAGGATTCCCTTGTATATGTGTTAAGTAGATATTGTTATCTTAAAAATTGTATTGCTATGTTAAGAGTTACTTTCAGTTTTTAGAGGATGTTATGTTACAAAAATTTACATTCTTTAGTGAATATTGTTGTCCTTAAAGTTTATTGTTGTTTTAAGAATTGCTTAAATTATTCAGAGAATCCTATGTCAATATTGTTGTATTAAACTTTCATTGTTGTATTAAGAGCTGTTCACAGTCTTCAGTGATTATTGTGTCTTCAGAGGACTGGTATGTTTAAAAGCGTCTACGCTGTTTTGTGGACTTATATTTAAGTGGTCTTCAGGAGATTGTGTTAAAAGGATTTGACGTTTTACGCAGATGATTGTTGTACTAAAAATTCTTAGGATGTTCAAAAAATGATTCTCCTAAAAGTTGTTTGAAAGGTCTCGAAAGTGATGACTATGATACGAATTCTTTATGGTCTTCAAAGAATTGTTGTGGTAGAAAGTGTCTCCAGTATTCCGATGAATTCTTATGTTATAAACTGATACGTCAGTAAATATTTTTTAAAGTTTGAAGTACTATTATATCAGGATGCGTTTAAAATGTTCAGAGAAATGTTTTGAGAATGAAACTTCTAAAAAACTTGAAAAGAAAGAGCTTTAAGCTTAAGAAATTTTTGTAGCATTGTAGTTCAGCAATATGCTATTATATTGTTTTATATAAATACAAATATGTTGATTATATAACGAACATAACGCTGGCCTATCGGAAGCCTTATATAAAAGTTCAGGTTATCTAACTTTTTACTATGAAATTGGTGAGCTAATTCCATTATATTCAGATATTGTTACCATAAGATTAGTGACTTAATACTGTAGTTTTCAGATACTGTTACCATAATATTAATGACTTAATACTGTAGTTTTCAGATATTGTTACCAGAAGATTAGTGACTTAATACTGTAGTTTTCAGATACTGTTACCATAATATTAATGACTTAATACTGTAGTTTTCAGATATTGTTACCAGAAGATTAGTGACTTAATACTGTAGTTTTCAGATATTGTTACCATAATATTAGTGACCGATTAGTGATCGAAACCCGGTTTCAAGCAGTATAAGCCCGCAAACATATCCAAGTAAACTAGTTATGTAGATAGACTGCAAATGCAAGACTGAGAATAAGCCTAGTTAATATCGTGGTTATTTTGAAATGTCTACCTATTTAGTTATCATCTAAAAGAAGCGATAGTGGTTCATCGGTAAATCTGACGATTTATAACGCTAAAAATTGGGTTTCGATACCCGTGGTGGGTGTAGCACAGATAGCCCATTGTGTAGCTCTGCGCTTAGGTACAAACAAAACAAATATTGCGTACAATTGCGTACATATTGCCGTGAAGTTGAAAAGTTTAATGCAAGGAAGTTAGCAACAATTTAATCGTTTGTATTTCTCCAATAAATCATCAAGTTTCATTTTTCAGGAAGTCACTGAATCACCTTCCAATCCTAAAAAACAATTTCATGAAGAGATCGCTTCATAATAATCATAATATATTTTATTGTAAAACTGTTTCAATGTATATATATATATTTCATTGTACAATAGTTTTAATGTTTATAAAGTTTACAATAAAACAGTTTCAATATTTATAAAGTTTACAATAAAACAGTTTCAATGTTTATAAAGTTTACAATAAAACAGTTTCAATGTTTATAAAGTTTACAATAAAACAGTTTCAATGTTTATAAAGTTTACTCTTAATGAGTTTTTCTTGTGTAAATTGAATTCTTGTAATTCATTGCATTTTTAATTCAATTTAAATTGCCCGACACACTCCAGAAACAAAATGTTAAAGAAAATGAAACTGTTCTCATTATTTCTTACTTTAAAGCATGAAGACTGATAAAACAATCGTGCTTTTCTTGAAAACCAAAACCTGAAATAGAAGACAATATATGGTCCAAACTGAGACTCTATGGCATTTTTTGAAAACATGGCTGTTATTTCGTTACAGGAAAAGAGCTATTATAATAGTATTACTATTTGAAATTATTCGGCAGTTGCTGAAATAAACGTCGATGTTATTTATATCACCTTATATTTTGTAGACATTGCATTATAGTTACTGTGTTGTTGTTGTTTTCAGTAAATGGTATTAAAGTTCCAGAGTAATAGTCGTCGAATAACAAGCAAGGTGTTTGCCATCTTTTATCAACTCGGCTTTGACGTAAAACTCACCTTCCAACAGGTATTTTGGCATTGATGATGGAAGGCGCGAAATGTTGAAGACAACGGGAAGTAAACGATATTCCCCCTGAAAAAGAACAATATGTATATTTTAACTTGAGCCAATTTTATATATATATATTTCACTTTTATCTCATTCGAGTAGGAGCCTTTTGAATTGCAATAACCAATCAGTTGTTATATTTACCTTTTTAGTTCTTTTACTATTAACAAAGGCGAGTTTGACCATCGTATAAATTGATTTCAAAACTCATAAAAGTAATATTTATATATATTTAATGTTGTAAACATAAAATAACAGTTAACACCAGGTCCTCAAATGAATACCTTGTAAATAAAGGGAAACATACAATTTGGTAGTTTAAAAGTCTTCAAATGAATACCTTGTAAATAAAGGGAAAACATACAACTTGGTGGTTTAAAAATATTCATGTGAATACCTTGTAAATAAAGGGAAAACATACAACTTGGCAGTTTAAAAGTCTTCAAATGAATACCTTGTAAATAAAGGGAAAACATACAATTTGGTAGTTTAAAAGTCTTCAAATGAATACCTTGTAAATAAAGGGAAACATACAATTTGGCATTTTAAAAGTCTTCAAATGAATACCTTGTAAATAAAGGGAAAACATACAACTTGGCAGTTTAAAAATCTTTAAGTTAATACCTTGTAAATAAAGAGAAAACATACAATTTGGTACAATTTGACCATTAATAGATATTACTTTTAACCATTGATGAATATCACTGTTATCATTTATAAATATTACTGTCAACCATCGATGAATATTACTGTTATCCATTGAATATATTACTTTTAACCACTGATAGATATTACTATTAACCATTAATAGATATTACTTTTGACAATTGATAGATATTACTGTCAACCATCGATGGATATTACTGTTATCCATTATTGGATGTTACTGTTAACCATTAATGGAAAACATGTGTATATTCTACAAAATTGTTTGTTTTCTCAGATGTATTCGTTCAGATTATCAATACACAGAATATATGCCTTAAAGTAACAGTATGTATAGAAACCTTTTCGAATGGACAACCACAGGAAATTGTGTCGTTTGTAACAGGGTCTAGGCATTCCCCTTCAGTGAACAGGCGAGTTTTACATAGATCCTTGTAAGTACACGAACCCACATCGTTAGGCAAACAAGGAATAGGCAGCCACACGGCCAATCCGAACAGCAATGATAGTTTCTTACTCATGGTGAGTTTCACCTAGAAATATATAATATATTTTATTATGAAATTTTTAATTCTAAAACTTTCCTGCGAATAGGCTGTAATACTAACGGTTTTCGGAGTGTGCCGTTTCTATGGTAACCTCAACATCCTCGTGGTCCACATCAAAAATTACTGAAAAAAAATTAAGTAAAACTTTCAAAAAATTATGAGCATGTTGTGTAATAATCTCTTGAACTAATATAATTCATTTTTTAAAATCTTTTATCACTTGCTTACATGTAATATATACAGAGGGTTGAGCACGTTATGTTAAAATGATCTTGAATATGCAAATCAAAAAGTCGATAGAAAGTCGCGGTAGAACTGTATGAATCAGAACTACATTTTGTAATTTTGTGACGATCTTAAGTAACGAGGTGCCACTGAAGATTGATTGCTTTTGGAAAGGGTATGTAGCAGTCCTTTTCAACACAAAATTTTCATATATTCAAGTCATAAAAATGTGCTTAGATCAATAATTTAGAACTTTCAAATTGGGGATACACATCCGTTGTATTTAAGGAATTGGAAAGCAAGATATTACGGACCAACCTGATGATTCATAACCATCCAGAATGAGACTTGCAACAAGTCCCCCAACCGTGGTAAGCAAAGTGTGGCGTCTTGTAACAAATAAGAATCTACGAACACAAAGGCCAATGGCCCATCCACGTGACCCAGACAAAAATAATCAACATAACCAAGAAGTATCTCCGTCTCAAAACAAGGCCAAAAGAGTATGGGTTTACTAGATAAAAATCTACAGTCATACCTCCCGTTCAATCATCGCATACATCAAAGAGCTGGAGAATCAAACGGGTATTCAAGCTATTCCATACAAAGACTTCATGTTCAAGTCGGCGGATGCAGTTCCTATGGATTTTCGTGCGATCGGATTGGGGTTTGAGTTTAGACTTCATCAGCTTTTTAAACACTTTTTCTAAATTGTTTATGCACCGAATTGCTTGTGGGTCCTGGACTTATCTTGTAGTCAGTATACGTACGCATAGGATACAAAGTTTTATATGGATGAGATTTAAAACGAAAATACAAATAATTGTGCGGTTCTTATCAAGAATGGGTAAGATCGTACCCGTCTGAGATCCCGAGAAATCTTGGTTCGCGACCCGTTGCTACAAAGCCACGCTTCGCTCTTATCATATGGAGACGTGAGTGCGCTATAAGAGTGACAGCTAAACCTCAATATTCAGTCATACAGGAGTAGACCAAAAGTTAGCGGTGGATGTTGTTTACTAGTTTCCTTTCTTTAGTCTATCAGTTCAAAAACAAACAGTTACGTACAAATACTCAAAAAAGGGACAGTTACGTACAAATACTC